ATTCGTTGCCGAGTTTGTCGTTGGGATACGTCTGGTCGTCGCTGAAGTGTGTGATATCGAAACGCAATTGTCTTAAGCCATGGAAGCCGCGGAAGCCCTCGAAACACTTCTTCGTGTTGAACGCGTCGCTGGTCTCGAAGTCGAAGGCAAATGTGGTCAACAGTTTGCAACTCTCGGCGATCATTGCTATGGATTTGGCCAAACACTGGCCGGGAGTGTCGTAATGACCGCAATAGACAAACAGTACCCGAAGTTCGCGGAGTTGTGATAACTTTCGCAACACTTGATTCGTGGAGAACGAGTCCTTCATATGGAGTTTGATGTCGAGGTGTGTCAGGTGTGGACACTCGGCCACAAACGTGTCCAACAGTGACATGTCTTCCACGCCGTAAACACACAATTTAGTGATATTCTTCGTGAGCGCAAGTTTGCCGTCAAACAGGCACTCGAAGTACACGTTATGTACGGTCTGGAGATCGGGACACATGCGGATCAGCGGCCGAACGGCCAAAGTGTCCAACGAGTGCGTGAACTCCACTGACCGCAAGTCGGCGCCGAACTTACGGCCAAACCTTTCGATGGTCTGTAGGGAACAGTCACTGATATCAAACCTGATGGCCGACAGCCGACGGCAACATCTGGTGATCGTATTTAACACCTCGTTATCGTTGGCGATGTGTTGGCGACCGAAACACACTTCGCGGACGTCGGGCAACGACCGCAACACCCGCTCCAGACGTCTGACGTCCACTGTGTATAACTGGTCACACACTGCGGCACCGGACTGACCCGCGCGGACAATACCATTGCAATCGCTGTGATCGCAGCGGCGGAAGAGGTCCGGCCAATTGGTCCGCGTGTTGGCCGCCGCGCGCGGGTCCGCGTCCACAGTCAGGCGCCGTTGTTTCTGACCAATCGTTCGCAAACAGCGCCTGAACTGATGGCTCACAGCCGTGTGTCTGACCACGTCTTGGATGGGCAGCCACTGGAGGATCAGTTCGCACAAGTCGTCGCACACTCGATGGCCAAACAGGTCCCGGCCTTCAGCACCACTACCGGCGCCGCCGGTGTCGCTAATATCGACATCCATTGTCTCACATGTGTTGCAGCTGTTGTCGCGGCGATGATCGGTGTCCTCTTCGGCGCCGGTGGTGGCCAACGCTTCCCAATCGGCGCCAATTGGTCTCAATCTCTTCGGCCGTTCAGACATTGAAGTCGTGTTTGAAATGAAATGAATGTTAAATAATATGAGAGAAAAAGTGTTTTGTTTTTCATTCAAAAACTTGTTTACAGTTATGTAGTATCTCTCATATGATAGGCATGTGTTTACTCGTCGTATATATCGTTACGTTTAAAACTTGTTTTTAGGGGCCGTTTTGTTGGAGAAACAGTTATTCTGTAGGCTTTGTATGGAGTGGGCTCACAGTGTGGACTCCCCTCTCACTTAAATGTACGTAACGTTGTTTGTGAAGAACTCGTACGCACTGAACTCAATACCGGGTTTACGTGAACTGAGAAATGGTTTTGCATTGAATTGAATGATAAACTCAAAGCATTGATTAAAAAGTAATAAAAAAGTTTTGATTTTTCACATAAATTGCATAATAAAACGCTAACTAAACAACTAATGCTATAAATAGTGAGTCAAGCAATTTTTCAAACAGTAATATAATGTATTAAAAACTTTATAAAATGCTAAGCTTAATGAATTGCAAATTGCAAACACAGATACAATATTTCACACAACTTTCAATTGATTGCCACAAAAATGCAAAACAAAAAAGTTTCAAAACTTATTCAAAATTGTTTTTAACAAATAACAAGTTTGTTAATTATGAAAAGTATACAATTGTGTTTGCATTGATATTTTCGGTACTAAAGTCGTTAACATATGCAAAAAGTCTCACTTTTCGGGATTCATTGTTAGGCATGGAATCAATAGTCATATCGATTAATACCATTTGTCCTTCAGATGGAAAGCCAAAAGACCTGAACTTATTCTTATTGACGACCGTTTGAAATGAAAGTGTAATGAAGTAGTCGTCACACGATTTTCTTCATTTCATTATTCTTTGTATTCTTCACATCTATTTGGATGTCTTGTCCATCAATTGTTTGGGTTGTGTCCACTCATTCAGTCATAGAATCAATCAATCGTTTCATTCAAAATGTCTGACAGTTTTTTCGATTGAAATTCTTTCAAATGTATAGAAAGTAAAATAAGCATCAAATGAATGACACAATTACTTAGTTTTTTACTGCATTCACTTTTACAATGTTTTTAAAATCAATTCTTGTACTTTTTAATAATAAGTAAGCTGAGTTTAAAAAAAAAGCTGTTAAAAATGTTTTAATTGTTGCAATTTTCAAAAAACGCGAGACTAGTGTTCGGCAAATACTTAACAATTAAACCCCGAATTTAAGTTTCGGGAATCGAATGAAAAGTGTTTTTATAGTTTTGAAACCCATTGAGTGTTTAAAATGCCTAAAATTAAAGACAATTTAATGCTATTAAAAGGATATATCTGTGAATTAATGTTGTTTAATATAAACTTTATGACTTGTCTTTACATTTTATATTCTTATGGCAAACGTTACAAAACAAACTTTCATTTATAATCGATTCCTCGTCGTGATTGGCTTTTAAGTTCATATAAAGTTACACCAAAAAACTTATAGCAAATCAATGGGTAAACAAAAATATTGACAAAATCTCTATATTTGAACACAATTTTCCCAAAACTTTACCCAAAAATTTTATAAAAGTATAAAAAGATAGAATTTTGTTATCACTTATCAAACCATACATACAGTGGTAGTAGAATATAGAGAATGACAGACCCGTACACTATAAACAAGAGATAGACAGAAATTATAAAAATACAAATAACAAAATCTCAATGACTTTTGAATTGTTGATATTATATAATCATCAAAAACTCTACACGAGTTCACACACACTATACGAGACATACCCGGAGTACTATTGAAATGTACTGGTATTACGTGTTTTGGGGAGATATTAACAGTTATTTTTGTTATTCATAAGCCTATCATTACTTTTACTACAAATCAAACACAAACAGACAATATATCACTTGAAAAACAACATTTATTATGGTAAACACTCGTAATATACCGTGGGAGATATTAACAGTTATTTTTGTTATTCATAAGCCTATCATTACTTTTACTACAAATCAAACACAAACAGACAATATATCACTTGAAAAACAACATTTATTATGGTAAACACTCGTAATATACCGGCACGTGTGGTACAGGTAGGTATAGTAGGGTTAGTGTTCGCACGTGTAGTCTATGGGCCATAGATTATGGCAGATATCGGGGGCACACGTGTGGGCGAGAGAGCGCCCGGAAGGGAATGTTTGCCAAAACTTTTCCATACATTTTGAACGGAAAACTTTTTATGGGAAAACTTTTCTCATATCTCTGTGGACTATAAATACAGAGTAGAACTCAAACTTTTCTATCATTATCTTATGTGAAGAGTATTGAAAAGTCTTGAAATAATTATAAATTTTGTCAGAAAAATTCATTTATAAATTGTTAATTAAATTGTGTTTAAAGTTTTCATTCATTCAATTAACTGCCAAACAATGAGCTCTCGATATGTGTTAAACCCATTCATGAATACATCAAAACTGTTGAATACAATGAAATACGCGGCCGAAAGGGACGGCAAATGGATCGGCGATCAGAAGGACAGCCGTCAGTACTCGTGGACCGATCGACAGCACGAGGAATGGGTGGACAGACGGTTCGGACAATTGGATCCGTTGAAGCGAAAAACATCACTATTGGAGACAAAGTCAATGAAAACCTCAGCAGTGGAGTCGTGGAAACAAAAGAAGTGATCATCTCTTTGTTGATTACCATATCATTGATCTCTTAATTTTGTATTTTATAACTCAAACATTGTTTTATTGTATTATTTTATTTCAATCACAAAAATTAACTCATTTTTTCACTGTATTTACTTAATATGTTTTTAAATAAATAAATAATTTGTTTTATAAATCCATTCATAAATTCATTTCAATAATTAATTCAGTTTTTTAAATAAAAAATCAATAATTTTCTACGAAATGATAAATATTTAAGAAATGTTTCTAAAATTTCTTTAACTACAAAAATAAAAGTTTTATAAATTTTAAGTTTAAATAATTTTATAAATTTCACACATAATTAAATAGCCATATGTTTAATATGGTTACTAATGAACACAACAGTAAATAACCATTTTAAAATTCAATTAAATAATTAGCTATACAATATTTTCACATCAAATTGAATGACATTCATAGAAAATCATGAATAAATTGTTTACACTTTCAATACTATTGCTAACCACCGATGTCTTGAACGCCAGATCACTGGACAACGCCATCACACTATCGCTGGCCAACAATCATTTGGGTGTCGATATTCTTCAGCAACTATACGACAACCAGAAGAATGCATTCTTCTCGCCATTCAGTATATCGATGGCCTTCGCGATGGTCTTCATGGGAGCGAAAGGCAAGACTCACGAGGAATTGTACGCTGGCCTCGGCTACAAATCGGTCCACTTGTCCGACATTCAGATCAACGAACAGTTCCAAGAGATTCTCACCGAACTGAACGACAAGTATAAGATCCGGCCGTACGCTCTTCGAGTGGCCAACAAACTGATCATCAGAGCCAGGTTTCCCATCGAAGACAAGTACCAGGGAGTGCTGACCAAGTACTACCACTCGGCCGTAGAGTCCATCGATTTCCGGAATAATCCGGTGGCCATTCGGGAAGCGCTCAACACATGGGTGGCCAACACTACCAACAATAAGATCCAAGAGATTCTGCCCAAACCGCTGGACCCGGTGTCAACTTATATGGTTCTGTTGAACGCCATCTACTTTAAGGGCTTATTTGCCAACAAATTCGACCCGAAAGAGACCAAAGAGGAGCCGTTCATCACCGGCGATTTCTGCCCAAACCGCTGGACCCGGTGTCAACTTATATGGTTCTGTTGAACGCCATCTACTTTAAGGGCTTATTTGCCAACAAATTCGACCCGAAAGAGACCAAAGAGGAGCCGTTCATCACCGGCGAGACCGGCGCTGAGCACAAGAAGGTCCCAATGATGCACCGGAAGGGTGTCTTCAACTACACCGAAATCAGCGCCATTGACAGCAAACTTCTGGAACTGCCCTACGCTGGCGACGAGATCTCGCTATACCTACTGCTGCCAAACCAACCGCAGGGTCTCTCCAAGAGTAAGCATCAATTGAAAGACTTCGCGGTCATCGAGAAGGCGATCACCCGATGCTATTCCATGGAAGTGGACGTAACGGTTCCCAAATTCAAGATCGACGCCCAGTACTCGCTGAAGGACTTGTTCATGACTTTGGGCATTAGCTCACTGTTCGGGCCGACGGCTGTCCTGACGGGCATATCGGAGCGCAAGAACCTATACGTGTCGGAAGTGATACACAAGGCGTCGGTGGAGGTGAGCGAAATGGGCACCGAGGCCTCGGCCGCCACAGCCATTAAGATCAACACCAAATCACCAAAACAACAGTTGACTTTCCGGGCCGACCATCCCTTCACGTTCTTCATCCGCCAGAACCGAAACGGAATGCTGTTATTCGCCGGTTATGTCAACAAACTCTGAGACCAAACTCTTCATTACCGAAAACAAACAAACAGTCATTTCATTTAAATTATTATTTAAATAAAACTAAAACATAATTAAAACTAATTATAAATTATAATAGATAAATAAAAACCACAAAAACAAAAACTATTTTTCCAATTTTTATTTATTCAAAAAAATCAATTAAATTCACCGCAAAATCAATACACGAAAAATCGTTAACCAATTAAACGGCAAAAACATGTCTTTACATAAGATTTTCTCATTAATTTAATTATCAAATCATTATTATTCTTCTGGAGACAACAGCCTAAGAGCTCTTAGAACTGGTGGGAACCACTTGCCAGACACGGATCAGATTATCGGTATAGCCGGCGAAGAGTGTGATGCCGTCGCCACTCCAGGCCAACGATATACACTGCGGCGCTTTGGTCTTCGACGAGGCGGAGATCACTTCGGGCTTCAACTCGTCCACCAAATGCTTGTTCTCGAGGTCCCAGATCTTGATGGAGGGACCGGTGGCCACACACAGCCAATAGCGGTTCGGCGAGAAGCACAGGGCGTTAATGATGTCGTTGTGGTCCAGAGTGTACAGGTGTTTGCCTTCATTCAGGTCCCAAAGCATCGCTTTGAAGTCTTTGCCGCCCGAAGCGCACAGCGAGCCATCGGGTGAGACCGTCACTGTATTCAAGTATCCCGTGTGACCGATATGGTTGGTCTTGAGCCGACAATTGGTCAGATTCCACACCTGTTCCACACAAATACAGATAATTACTAAACAATTCAATCGCAAACACAAACAACGAGATAATCAATGAGTGGTAAACAATCATAAATGCAGGACAATGTAATCAAACACTTGATTGGATCAGTAAATGGTGTCTTAGATATAATCATATTGTTTACGGGTATCAACTCATTCAACAGCGCAAAAGTGAGACCACATTCAAAAATGGGTCACAACAGGGGAGGGGAAAGGGATCAGGTTTGTGGTGACAATTACCTTCACGTGTTTATCCCAACCGGCGCTGACGATAATCGGGTTGGAGTTCGAGGGCGAGAAGCGGACACACGAGACCCAATCGGAGTGACCCTCTTCTTGGATGGTGTACTTGCATTGGGCCAAAGTGTTCCACAACTTAATGGTACGATCCCTACTGCCGGACACGATCTGGCGATTGTCGGCGCTGAACGCCACGGACAGCACGTCCTTCGTGTGGTCCTCGAACCTGCGGGTAGTCTTACCGACGGCCAGATCCCAGAGCCGAAGGGTCTTATCCCAGGAACCGCTCAGCGCGTACTGTCCGTCCATCGAGAGCACCACATCCGTGATGAAGTGGCCGTGACCTCGAAGTCGCTTCTGTGGGATACCATAGTTGCTGTCTTCGCGCAACAGTTTCCAGACAATCAACGTCTTGTCCCGACTGGAGGAGAGGATGGTGTCCGGGAACCGGTTATTGGTGGCGATCTGAGTCACCCACGAGTTGTGTCCAATGAGTGTCCCCTTCAGGAGCAGCTCTTCGTTCGGTGATGTGGCCGCAGCCGATGCCATGTCTTTGAGAGGATGGTGTCCGGGAACCGGTTATTGGTGGCGATCTGAGTCACCCACGAGTTGTGTCCAATGAGTGTCCCCTTCAGGAGCAGCTCTTCGTTCGGTGATGTGGCCGCAGCCGATGCCATGTCTTTGATAGGTTTAGTCGGTGATCGCTACGCGAGTCTTGCGGTCCAATTGATCCACTAGTGGTGATCGACAGCTAAAGACACGTTGTTTTGTGTGTGTTATGAGAGTTGTGTCCAAAGCGGAAAAGGATGGCAACGATTGTCACGTGAGCTCACATTCACTCTACCATTGCATCCCATATAAGACGTCCATTCAATGCATTCTCTATGAAATGGTTTTTATTTTATTAATTATTTATTGGATTTAATTATTATAATTAATTACTAATTTAATAGTTAATAAAACTATACATTAATTGTATTAATCTATTAATAATTATAAAACAGACTTTTAATCACTGTTTATATGCGTGAGAGCTAGGATTCTGATTGTGTACGTACTCTATGAACGGCCCCTCAGTATTGAAGTCAATGTTGGGTTTGATTTTGAAAACATAAACCAAATTAAAAATACAAAATCTTTTGGTAATTAAACACAAATTTTAATTAATAATCAATCAATTAATCGCATAATTAATTGTCAAGTCTTTCGGTGACTGAAACCAAGCGTTGGAACCACTCGTGAAGAAGTCAATTACCACTTCCATCGCCGGTAAAGCCAAACACTAATGCGTTCATCACGTGATGAGAGCCGCGACTCCGGCCGACACTCTTCGGGTCGGGACTCGTCCTCCGGTCGCCGCACCGACGATAGGGACAGACGGGTCGGCTCGGGATACCTGTCCTCCTCTTCCTCCACGTCTATGACATCCATTAAACGTCTGAAGACTTCTTCAACGAAAGACTCGCCGTCGAACTCGACCTCAAAGTTGGCCACAAATAGCCCGCGAGGAGAGCGGCCGTCGTCGGCGGCCAACGAGCCGAAGGTAGACATCCAGAAGTTGTCGATGGAGGCGATTCTTCAACGAAAGACTCGCCGTCGAACTCGACCTCAAAGTTGGCCACAAATAGCCCGCGAGGAGAGCGGCCGTCGTCGGCGGCCAACGAGCCGAAGGTAGACATCCAGAAGTTGTCGATGGAGGCGATGCTGGCCGAGGAGGACGAGGCCATCCACAAGACGACCGCCGAACACGATCTCAAAGAGTTTCGCCTGAAGTGTAACTCAATCCGCGATATCTGCCATCAGGTCCTGGAGGCCAAGATTGGCGGCGACCAGAAAACGGTGGACGCGCTGCGAGTGAAGGGTTCGCTACAGTTCTTGGCGCTCAAGACGTTGAACCGGTTCGACAAATACCGGTCGCGCGACGCCCGCGACCGCCTCCAGACCGCCAAACAAAAAGTGGACACATTTCACCTCCAGCTCCAGAACTTGCTCTACGAAGTGATGCATTTGCAGCGCGAATGCAATACGTGTTTGGCGTTCCGGTCGAAGGACGAAGACATCGATTTGGTTCCGGTGGCGGAGTTCGAGGCGACCGCCGACGAAGAGCTGCGCGAGAGGGCCACTGACCAGCACTCGACGCATTTGGCGCGACTCGAGTGGGAACTGAGGCAACGAAAACAGTTGGCGTCGGAGTTGAAGAGCGCCGAAGAGGTGAAGAACGGCGCGGAGGCGGAGATTGTGGTGAAACGGGAAACGTTGGACAAACTGCAGCCGATGTTGAAGTCGATAGTGGAGGCGACGCAACCACTGTATGCCGAACTCAATCTCCCGCTTCAGGCCAACGACTCGGCCCACGCGATGGCACAGTATCTCTCGCGCCCGCTGTATGTCCTCTACCTTCAGCTCATTTCCTATAAACACGCGAATCGATCGCCGTTTTCGGTCAAAATCAACGGCACTGTTGAGGACGTGAAGACGTTTGAGTTGACCACCAAAGCCGAAGAAGAGGAGGACAATGAGGAGCAACAGGAGGACGAAGAGGCCGGCGGTCGGTCCCGGAAGAGCAAGAAGTCGCGTCATCGGCGAAAGTCGACCTCACACTCGAGCGGTAAATCTCTGTTCAACAAACTGGTCGCTTGTCATCCATTGACCGTCGAGTTGACCATCGCTTCCAACGGATCCACACTTCGATGTCTATTTAGTTTTGCGTTGCGTTTGGAAATCGTTTGCGCGAAAGTGTCTGTCGATCAGTCATCGGGTCACTCGCCCGGCGCTCACCTCGAAGTCGTCAATCATCAGCTGTTATCTCATCTGATGTCTGATCCGGAAGACGATGGCCTCCAATCGCCGAATCCGGCCAACGATCACACCATCAAAGCGTACGGCGTTCACGACTTCAGCTCATTGACGGGTCAGTTGGGCTTTGCGTACAAATGGTGTCAAAGCATCTCCGGACTCGACTTCATGACGAGTTACGCCCGAAACACATCCAACGCGTTATCAATCAACTCAATGGATCAGACAGTGAAGGCCATCACTCGACGGTTTGAGTCACGGCTGGCGCTTCAGAAACAACTGTGTCATTTGGACCGCAACTCACTGGACCTGCCCGGCCCTCTCGCCACCGAATCGGCCGCCACTCAAGTCATGTCCCAAATCCATGCGTTTAAAGAGATCACACGCGAAGACTATCACCGCAATTGTCGCGTTGCGGACAACATTATCACCGATTCTATGGATTTGGATCAGTGTTTCCTATACCGAGCGCTCGTCGAGAGGGGTTCCGCATCGCTGACAGCACTCATTGTCCTGCCGTTAGACTATCCGAAGAATCCGCCATTTTTTAATCTCTCAATTGGCGAACAGGCGTCAGATTACCAGAAGTCAGCGGCGGATCCGTTACTTCGCGATTTAGAACAACTGATCAACTGTTGGTGTGCCGGCCATTGCGAGGCCAGTGGCCAGCAGTCGGTGGCGGCGTTGCTATCGTATCAAATGCATAGATTACAGCTCGGCTTTGATACCTATTTGGAGGCCAAACAGGGCGGCAGTTGCGGCGCCGCCGGTGGTGCCGAAGGGCCTAAAGAGTTCCCGATAGTGAGCGCAGTGGTGGCCAAAGGCCGTACGGGTCGCGACCACTGTATCTCTTATCACATCGACGCCAATGATTACAGCGATTAGTTTTTTTAGTTTGATTTTTGATCATTGATTTCCTATTGTAAACATAATTACCGATAATTTTGTTGTTTTTTCATTTGTTTTTTCCCTCATATTATGTGTCAAATTCATTGACAATCTCTGAGACAAAACTTCTTTCATGTATTAATATTTAAAAATAAATATTTTTCTATTATTTCAATTTACAGTACATTTACATTTATTATGAAAAAAAGTTTTTATTTGTTTTGAATCAAAACTTTTGATGTAAAACTTTTTTTAATACAAAAATAAGTGAATTGATAGTTAATTGTATTAACAAAACAACTAAAAATTACATTTAAGTTGTTTTTTGTGGCAATTGATGGAAAAATATGTATAAAATAGTAATCTTTTTCCAATCAATGAATAATTCAGTTAATCATACAATAAATACTCGGATTATTATTGAACAGAAAGTTTCGCATGAATTTGAATACATTTTTATCACTTATTAATCTCTCATTAATAGACTTGTGTTTCAGATTTTAGTGTTAAGTCTGTCTATCAATGAATTGAGTTGTGTTTTAATTGAGTTTCAATTGATTTACATTAAAATCTATATAATTTGTTGTCTAAATTAAGTGTCCGTTGAAGACATGAATCCACGAAGAAGTCATGTGATGAATGACGACGTCTTGGGTTTGATTTTCAACGAATTAAGTGTCAAACAATTGTTAAGATTAGAGTCGGTGTGCAATCAGTTCATGGATTGCATCGGAGGAGTGGACACAAGCATTGGAAGTGCTCTCCAAAGGAAGAATGAGCTGAGAATCGGATTCAAGTGTACGGATGGAGACATTACTGGTGCAATTGTTCGCAATGGAAATTCATTTGATTTGATTGAAAGCAAAGACACGTTTGAGTCAATACTCGAGAAGTGTTTGTTCATAAAGTCTTTGCATTTAGACGACACTTGTATTAATGAACGCATCATATCATTGATATCCACTCGATGTCCACAACTGCAGCGCTTGTATTTGAATAACATTGTCATCAAAGCGCTCAACAAAGAGGATGTGATGAACGCATTGAAACCATTGTTATCGCAATTATCTCATTTAACTCTCGATGGTATTGATGATAATATTTTGCAACTTTTGCCACAATTATCATCACTTGAATCCATTGAATTGATTGATTTGTGCGACTATTATGAGGACACCGACGAAGTGTTTAAAATGTTACCGCAAAATATTCGTTGTCTTAAAATAGATAATGCGGACGAAAGTGAGATAGCAATGGATACACTGGTGAAGAGGTGTCCGCATTTGGTATCGCTTACAATCTGTGGATCCTATGACATGGATCCGATGGTGACAAAGATTTGCACCCATTTTAAACTTAAATGTTTATACATGTTTTGGACGGATCAGTTTTCGGCCGATGTCTTCGCCGAATTCGTGCCAAAACTCAATGAATTGACACATTTATCACTTTCGGCCATTGATTTGAACTCAACTGTTATCAAACCGATGCCTAAACTCACGTCTTTGTCATTATATTGTTATGACTCTTATCCCAAACTGTTTCATAATTTTACGCAAATCTATCCAAACGTTAAACGCTTGCGTCTGTATCTAAATCTGAATTACGGTTGTCATGGAGATAGGGTGGACATGGATGGCAACCTTGTTCACGCGTCCTGTCGTTATTGTATATCTGATTGCATGTATTCTGTATCGCAATTCAAACAACTCAAGCGATTGTATATTACATTTGAATTTGAATATTCGTGGTCGAATGACAACTATCCATGGTATATTGGATTCAATGATATGAAACTCTTCACTGAACTAAACGTATTATCATTAAAATATCATAAAGACATTAACTCTTTGATTGAGTTTGTA